ATGAACGTTTACTGGGTTTTACGTCCAGTACTACAGTTAAGCATCCCTTCAGACGGCCAGCCTCCAGCACAAGACGGTTCCCGATCTACACCGCCTCGCGTATTCCTGCTAGTGTAATGTATCGGTTTGAAGTAGCAACCCCCGATCGTTGGGTTTAGTAAGGAAATACGTTACCTCTATGCTAGTACGGGATTGGGCATTCCTAATCGGTATGGTGTACGCTCTTACAATCTAAAGCTTCGGACACTGCTGTCCTTTAAGACTAGATCGTAGATTTAATTAGACAAAAAGAAGATAATACGTGATAGAATTTAGCGGAACCTTTTTCTAGTAGTAAACACTGTGACGTTCTCACTGAAAAACTTTAGAACGTGACAAATTTGTAGCGTTCTAGGAAATCATTGTGTCATTTGCGAAACACAGGTAAACATCGATTCTGGGTAGTTGGCGTTGATCTACGCTAAATTCAGATGAGTAAGAACTCCTGACAAACAAAATATCCTTGCGACATCCATCTTCGCTTTCTCATCTCAAGAAGCTGATACTCAGGTGCCGATAAATATTTCTTTTTTTCTGTTTTTCCTAGTAATTTCCAGTTAGAACCCTTTAATGCGATTCATGTTAAGATAACATGGGGACCTAACTGTGGATTACTTGCCTAATTCCTCCCTCGCCGTTTATTTAAAATTTTAGCTTGGTCCGGCTTCTTTATGGAAAATTTACTTAAGACTTTTATCAACGGCTCGAAGCGGATGACAACTGGGAGATTTTTAGTGCTCCATATATAATTAGTAACGACAAAACATTGGGTACGATGTTTTAGTATGAGAAAATCTTAAAATTTATACGACTATGTAAGCGTTTCAAGCTTAAGGTCTTAGATGGATGGGTTTTAGATAGAAAGTTTTAGATGGACAGCGGTTTCCCCATGAAACCACTGTTTGTCTGTCTGTCTACGTCCAGTTCTGAATTTCGACCAGCAGATGTTCGTAAACTTCGCAGTCACGCACGTTACTAATCCACCATCAAATGGGCACGGTTGCTACAGCGGCCTTCGGTGTATCGGAATCTATAATAATGGGTGGTTTTGCTAAGAGTTTTACCCCGACCTCTTGAAATAACACTGCAGGTCGTATTTGGAATCACGTGCCGATTCTGTTGGATGGTTGTTACACTGAGGTTTATTATTTTTAGATATATCCCATCGGTGAACTGTATATCTGATTTTATATCTCATACCAGTAACATTAGCTATCTATGTATGTTCATCTATGTTATTTTATTCCAGCTGGCGCAGAAAGTTTCTACATAATGTAATGTTATATATAGTGTTATGTCAGATAACTGATAAGTTAGTATGAGCCTTATAAATGAGATTAAGAGAGAGAGAGAGAGAAGGTTTTGTTACAATAAGCTGTCTATAATTTCTTATTATAAAATTTAATCAATTATGGAGGCTCTTTGAAGCTGTTTATCTCGACTAGGAAACACATTGTTCTCATATTGGATTGAGTTGTCAAGTGTTAATTATATCGACCCTATTATCTATTCATTCAAATATACGAAAATAGCTTGTAGGATAGGACTGTGACCAATTCGAATCAAGTAGGATAATGTCAACACGTAAAAAATTACGCATTTCAAATAGCGGATAATGCCCGTATACGCGTCTTCTTATATGAAACCGAAAGATAAAGAAATCCTCTTAAATATCATGTTATATATAAATGGCGTTATTTGTGCACCATCGCAGATTGGTGGGCAGTACTGGCTCTCGCGGGAGAGACCCCACAGACTGATCCTCACTTTCTTCCTGGCCTTTTCTGCCCGTATAGTATCTACTCAGAGAAGAAGTCAGCAATAAGCTATCTTATAGCTGTTTAGTAAAACTTGTGCTAATGTACGGTTGACAATTGATACGTAATAATGAAGAAGACAAAAGGTATCATTCTTTTTCTTATCATAATAACTCCTTCAGCTATTATCTCTCTGTGAACAAGCTTTATAATCACAGTACAGCATCAAAAACATTCTTGTATTAGGACTTCAATCGGAGTTGGTTTATCTAGAATTATATGGATTTTCCCTAACAGATCTCATAAATGGCAGAGTAACTATACAGGCAAGTCTTATCCTTAATAATAACTTCGCAATTTTCCTGCTTATTAATACACACGTATATTTTTTACCAAGGCTAAGATTTGAGCTAACATGAGTATATGTCCGTTGATTAATAGTTACCTTAGAAACACACTCAGAGAGATACCTACTATCCACCTAGACTACGTCTATCATCGCATAAGTATTTTTCCCAATGCTCAGTGCAGATTTTTGTCTCACCTGGAACACTTTCATAAACGCAGTCTTTGGGCAACTCGAAAAATTTGCCCGTGTGTTTTTGATTCGACGTGAATAAGCCCTGTTTTAGATAGGAGTCAAGAGCATTTCAAAATATGAAACACCAAAATATAAAATAACTTCCTTGCAGCGATGCTACGACACTTCTGCTGTGAACTTGCCCCCTGCTACCCTTTAGTTAGCAAATTCGAAATGCCCTGATTTATGAGTATCGTTATACTGAGCTAGTGACAGCATGCGGACAACAATTCCACATGGTTAACGCTCAGATATGGGTTGTTGTTTAAGGTTACGATTCGAAAAGTTAACCAAGCTTTTGAGAAAAAAAGGGGCTGCATACGCTTTGCGGGGTTAACTTACTCTGAGCGATCATTTCAGTCTAAGTTCGAGTATACGACTCATACAATTTGAATCGATTTTTCTAGGTGCTTCAATTTGGAAGGCACTCAGGGAATCAGACAAAAAATTAAGGATTTTCGCAATAAATATATACAACTTACAACAGTTCGTTATGACACACTGAATTACCAATATTTGAATGAATAGAAATCCTCTTAATGCTTACGTTGCCATATAGGCAGAGCTTGTGAGGCTCTAGCGAGATCTTTTCGCATGATCGAGACCTTGTCCGAGATTCATATCCGATAGGCTGTATGCTCAGCCTTAAATACGCAGTATTTTTTATACTTCGCAATTTTCGTAGTTGGCGACAATCCTGTTTGCTAATTTAAAAACTGATTTATAGAAATTATTGTTTGGAGAAATATTACCTGCCCATATCTCGTATATGCTACTGTTCCGCTAATAATGACTTTTTCCTAATAGTGCGGTTAACGATAATGAGCGGTTCTGTCTTTCAACCTAAAATAGGTGCGGTAACTACAATGGGAGTCGGTAGATACGCTTAACTAACGGATGTTTTTGAGGGCTGTTGGCGCCATAAGGATGATAATGGCCACCTGCTAAGTGACTACCAACACGCATTCTGCAATATCGACCAGCGCACTTACTGGACTTCTCGTCTATTCTCACCAACATATATATTTCATGCCGTTGTTATTGGCTGAGAACACTTCAGTTTGTTTACTTCAATGCCGAATTCTCTGTGACGAAAGCAGTAGCGTTTCAGGCCCGTTGCTTTCGCATGTTGCTCCGCTACATGAGGACCGGCCATAGGCAGGGGTTCATGAAGTTTGTCAATCCTTTTCTTCACTGTACCTCAGCAGCATCAACAACGTTAGCGACGTTCTTCTCCCATCTCACTAAAGAATGCGCATAGAGTTCAATGGTTTAACGGGTGCGCTGCTATGAATGAGGCTATCTATTCACGGCAGTGTACAGGTCGGCGAGACCCGCACTTTTACTTTTAAGAATCTTCACTTCTTACTAACGAAGACACAACGTCGAACAAAGAGATCCTCTGTTGTGTCTTCGTAGCCGCAGGCAGCAGTTAACTTCAGTTTTTTTTTTTGCCAGCCAATGGCGTTCGTTATTCTAATGTACATGTTACGTTAGCTGATCATTTCATCGGTGTGCCTGACCGTCTGATCTCGCTTCACACTCGTCGAATGGCTACGAATAACGTTATTACCAGCGGCTAAGACCAGCAACACAAACAACAATACCAACATATTGTAGTCGATCATTGTTGCTGTTCGCTTGCGTAACATAGAAGGCACACTTTTCCCATAGACAGTCGGTGAATTCGCTATCCGGTCAGCCGGCCATCCCGAAGCCTGAGTCCGAAGTGAACGTCGTATGCCTGTTCGGTTCCACTGCGTTGGGGTTTGTTTTCTGAAAAGGCGCTGTAGCAACGGCGTCTTTGGCGTTACACTTCTCGATTGAAGGCATTAAGTTTTATCTATCTTGTACGTTGACGACTACAATGTTTGCTGATATCTCTTGGAATGCGAGTTTTTGCCAAGTCTGCTAGCTATCGGCCGACGACAAGAGAATCACCGAAAATCGCGGTGGCCTGAATGGTTCTAACAGTAATAGAAACTGCAGACTGATCTGCATCTATATATGCTTATCGTGATGCTAACAATAATCTTCACAGAATTTTTTTGTGCGCCGTTTTATCTCGTCTATGATAGTGATAAGATGGTTACTCTAGCATAACGCTGTGCCAGTGACCAGCCATCAGTACGCCATTAGTTATTATCAGTCTTGTTTTTTTAGAAAGCTCAATAATACCTAACTACACACGAGAATAACACACCGCAGTAGTGCTAATTGTTTGTACTATGTAGCTGTTTCTACCGAAACGTGTCTGGTATCGATTCTTCTCCGTCTCCCGGATATAACGTCTCTTTCGTCTTGAGTAAGCATTTGAGTACGCGTATCGTCCCAGCGGTGCGTAGGGCAGCTTCACTTTACTTTCCTTTTAGTTGTTGTTTTTATTAATGTATCAATGCAGCTAGAATGACAACAGCCGGAGTAGTTGTTGTTGTACATTGAGGTCCAGCGTGGCTCCGGTCCACGCACCGCCGGCTTGCGGCAGCGGCAAGAAGCTAAATTACGAGACGCTGGGTAAGAGTAACGGAGAAAGGGCAAAACACCGTTAGCGAAGCTGCCCGCGAAATCGACGAACAGCATCACGTCAGCTCTAAACAGAAACGACGAATGCTCGGAGACGCGTCACCGCATATATCAAATACGATCCGGTGACGGCATTCGGTCACACTGCACTAATAGAAATAGTATTTGTAAAAGAAACCCTCAAAAGTAGTCCTCCATAGAACAACTCTATTGATTTGACGAGTATTTATGCGAGTTCGCACCGAGTGACACATTGTTGACAGGAAGAAACTCTTAAAGATCGGTATCTCTTTCGATTGATTGTCGTCTGAATTAAAGACAACATAATACGGCGCACGCAAAGGTTCCATTAAGCGTCGACAGTGGACCCGTTTGTGGCTATGAGATCGCAATGTCGGCGATGTTAGACCTCTGATACTCGCTGCAGATCGTTGTTAAACATTGGGGCCTTTTGCTCGTCGGTGAGAGGGCTAAAGACAGATAGAACCTTGTCCTCCAGACGGTGTAACTGGCGACATCTGCTTTTCGATTGCAGCAGAAAGGGCAGCTATATCAGGAGAATGGAACGGCAATTAGATTGAGCCGAACCGGATGCTTCCCAAAAGCAATTGTGTGCCTATAGTTAGTTAATCTGATCTGGCCCCATGATTTCTTAGTACTTCAGCGGTGTCCATGTTACTTTAACTGCATTAATCTATCTCGAGTTTTTTCTATCCCCCTTCAAATTTGCTCGTGGTTGCCTACGTAGATGTCGAAGACGTTATCACTTTACCGTCTTTATCAGCTCGTGTCAGCCTAATCTGCCTAGTTCCATTATCTCTCGAAGGATATCACAATGTGTGTCTAGTGTTTGTGCTCGCGACTACGCGTCGATTGTGTCTGATGCCTCTGTGTAAGTGTTTTGTGCATCTTTGCTATATGTAGCCAGTCTCCTCAGTCCTCTGTCGTCCCTACGGCGACCAGTGCGATTTCTCAAGTCTGCCTGGAAAGATAAGACGCAGACGGTGCCTCCACGAACCGTGGACGCTTGCAGGTTTTTTAGATCAAACAAAAGAAAAACCGAAGGATACACAAAACGTAACGCGGAAGCAAAAAATGCCGACCCTGATTTCATCTCACTTGATTTTGGCCATCGCCGCTGCTGGCGTTCTGATTGACGCTCGCTTCTCCGTGCCGTATGTGTACCACGATTACCGCGGTATGTCGGATCTACTCGTTAATCTGACGAACTACCGGCCCGATCTCGTCACACTGTACTCTGTTGGCAAATCGCTAGAGGGCCGAGACCTTTGGGTAACGATGGTGACCTCGCAAGCGACCGAAGATCAGCTGCTGAAGCCAAACATTCGTTATATCGGTAACATGCATGGTAACGAGGTAGTTGGTAAAGAAATGCTTTTACATCTGTTGGCCTACATGGTGAACACGTATGACACGGACCCACAAATGCGCTGGTTCCTCGATAACACCATTATCCATATTATGCCGACAATGAATCCGGATGGTATGGAAAGATCCCAACATGGCAATTGTGTCGGGGTCAACGGGCGTAATAATGCTGCCGATTTTGACTTAAATCGTAACTTTCCCGTGGTGGTGGGGACAGGTCGATCTCAAAAGGAGCAACCGGAAACTGCAGCTGTTACCCGCTGGATGAATGTCGTCCCCTTCGTACTTTCTGCCAACTTACATGGAGGAGCGCTCCTCGTGCGTTATCCCTTTGACAATGGCGTCGGTATGTACTTACAATCAGGTGTCTTAGATGTAAGCATCGTCATTTTGGAAGACTGTTCGGTAGATCGTCTATTGTGACGCCAATACTATAAAATCATCGATGCTTAGGGTATATATTTAACTCACTGAGATGATAAGCTATGAATATGTTTTTCGAAGTTTAAGATATCGTGACATCAGTACCGCTACCGCGTTTTCTATCGCGTACTTAGTGTTAGTTCTATACAAATTTCTATCGAAATATCTAATTATGTACATAGCGAATGATCTCCACTATAATTTTAGGCCGATCTCGAATAACATTGAGAAGTACTGTTATCTGAAAGAAATGGAAACTATAACTGAGGGACTCCGAAACGAAATGTCCTTTTTATATAAGGACATTCCTTGTATATTAATTAATTCGGGTTTATTCAAAACTGGTTATCAGAGCTGGTAACAGCTAACAACAATCGACACAAATCTATCTAATTTATTGTACACGCCCAGCTCAACGTCCTATTAATCGCTTCAAGACTCACAGCGTCTCTTTGTCTTTTTCTTTTCTTCATAAACCACATCTCGATGGACAAACGCAGCGCCTGTTTATGCTTATTAAGGCCCCACGCAATGGAGCTTACAGCCACAACTGAAGACGGCTCCAGCCATCCAGAACGCCTGCTTAGATGCTCCTACTCTTCCGTTTCAACAATTAATATGAATCAGATGCTTAAATTAAGGCACCTGTCAGCCCTTTGTTGCTTCTGACTTGCGTCCTTACAATCATAGCGGATTGTTGATGCACATACGGTATTGTTGGGCGGTTCGAAAGAAGAATTGGTAACTAGCGAACTCGTGCTACAAAAGGCGGAATTTAGAATTGAAATTGGCGGGAGTATTCCTATCTGTTATTGCGGCTTTGATGTGTGCACGTGCATACATTCATGACCATACAACAAATATTCGTAAAAATCAGGCAGCTGCAATACAACGAGTCCTATCCTTTGTAACGAAGGATTTCTGAATATAATCAGATCTAGATCTGAGAAGTAACGGCAACAGGACTCATTTATGCCTCTTCGTGTTTAACAAGGCTTGTTTTAACCCGTTTACTCATTCTACATCTATACACTTTCACTACCCTTAAAAATGGTTTGAAGTCTATAAGTGGGCTTGTTTATCTTCGAGATACTAATCTACGTGATTCTTCTCGATGACTTGTCTACTTCTCTTCGTGTACAATTACCAATCAAGTTACACTTTGTAGGTGCCATATTCCGGTAGCCTGTAAAAACCAACTTCAATACTACACAGCAGAAAGAAGATGAGTTCGAAAATCTAGCGAACGTAGCGCGAGTTTTACACTTGTCACTTCCTCCTATCTGCCTATTCTTATTTGAGTCTCCCTTTACCGCAATTTCTTTCTTACGGGACGTGAAACGTCTCCCAAATAACTGTTCCTTATGGCAGTTAGCTTTAATTGTGGCTCCCCCTTCCCCCGCTCCTTCTTGAGATGTCTATTTTTATATAATAATTTTTATATAATTACAGACAAAGCTGAAAAAAATGCCTCGTTTACCATCAACACAAAATGCCTCATTTGCATTTTGTTGTAGAAAGGGAAGGAATTATCGCTCCTGGCAGATGGCCGCGCAAATGACTGCCCTCCGTTGTACGCCGCTCGCCGGGTCCCCACGCGCAATCAATGCGTTTTCAATTTCTCAAGCTCGGCTTCTTTTGATCTAATTCGCCCATGCCATATAACCGAACGCTCGCGACCGTATTCCCCTCTGCTCGTCATGTTTCGCTCGGTCTGCTTTATCTGACAAACAGGTTCCCTTTTTCCGACAACTTAGCCGGCGAACACCATTTGTTGACCGTTAGAAGTTTCGCACCATTGTATAAGAAGTTGATGTTAATGAAGCAGCAGGAACATGTTAGATACTGCCGGTCGCCTTGGGGGCGTTGCGATAACTTCTAACTGTAGATGTGCAAGCCGCAAGGCACCCATCACGGGGATAGACTTGGTAGCAATTTAACTGCTTGCACCGTCGTGATGAGATAATAAAGACATACCTGTAAACGTAATCACGAGTGATATTAGCCAAGTTGTTCTACGTCTGATCTTGTTATGAGCTGACAAGAGAGTGGACAAAAAGAGCGCTTCGCTGATTTCGACGATATTATTTGCCTCGGTTGACGGATATGGGATTATTCGATTTCAATTTCAATATAGAGGATTTCTTCATGTCATGTTCAGAGAATCAGATATGAATATGTAGAGAATCAGATATGAAGATATTAAGAATCGTCACTGTTATAGCGTTGCAGTGACTGTACGTAAAGCACGAGAATATAACATGCGTTTCGATACGCAGTCGCGTTTTACGTGCCGAAGCGATAAAACAAAAGTCAGTCTGATCATGCTAACAGTTAACTGTGTTAAAATAATGTTGCATTTCTAGTTAAATTTCCACCTCATAGGGTAATTACTGATATGTCGCTCTTTGATTATGGATAGGATTGCGAATGCAGGGAATACATAAGTTTTTTTTACCGTTTCACTGCAGCTATCCTTCGATTCAATGTCAACGTCAGCTCTGATTTCCTCCCGGATGGTGTCTTACCCGCCCGTACAAGCCATATAGGCTGTCTGTACGATTTACATGACGTAACATCATGCAATCTTGGATATTTTTGTGGATCTTGCATCGTTGTGCAGTAGATTAAAAATGCACGTAGACAATGCAAGTCTACTGAGTTTGTTTTATGGGGGTAACGTGCCCCATCCACCCTTCAAATAGCAGAAAGTCGGTCGCTCGTACGGGCATTTTTTTTATGTCCTTATCTAATGTTGGCTCGCCTGAAATATATTTGGCTGTTTACCGCTGTCGCCAAACAAAGGCTGTCAGCGTCGCCAGTCCACCTGGAAGCGTAACGATATAGAATATAGACTACGATGTATTGGCTATAATAATCTGTACTATGGGATACAGACGATATTCATTTGGGCCAGCAAGGGCCCATATACTTCCATATATAACATTATTCTAAGTTTTTGTAAATATCCCTAGATAACGGACAAACCGAGAACCGTTTATTACTGCCAAGCAGTTAACGGTCGCCGATCAACGGACGTCGTTAGTTACACGCCGTTGGGCTGTACCAACGACGCTTTGCTAAATAATATTGGAAACTAGTCATTACAAGAGGTGTCATGACCATTATGCGCAGCGGAGATACGACGCAGCAAGTTTCAATATCCGCTCTTCTTATTTAAAGAAACATCGCCATGTAAAATGTTGCAGCAAGCATTGCCGTACTGTTTTTACACGTCTGTTTTACGTCAGTTATGATCTAGGCGGCGTTGCTTACGGTTGCTAGGCTAAAAAACGACATGGGAATAACAACTGTACAAATCCAAAGACATAATTGTAAGAAAACAACTGGCTCCTTTGTCAGCAATTCATTATCTGAGCTGACAGTTCAATAGAACATGCTGTCATGATAAAATTCGAGCAAACTGCATGTAATAATAATAATTTATTAGGAAAAAAACGTTTGACAGGACATTATGTAATACGGGATTGCACTCCCAGCAGCGTTCGCTCACACGGGGAAGGCAGGTAGTTTTCGTTATAGCAAACCCTCGATTCGTTGATTAGGGTAAACAGAGTATGGTTCATTAGAGGACTTTGTCTAGGCGCCTTGTTTTTATCTCTTGTTATTCTGTTCATTGAATTCTGTGAAATTACTATCGATTGTACACGTTCACTACATCTAGATTTGCTTGAGTAAATAGAATGACGGCAATGTTGAAATCATCATGTTCATACATAGTTGATCCTGTAGACCCGCGTAAGATAGTTTTCCAACTTCTACAAATCTAGCTAGTTCCTGCGAAGGGTGTCTACATATTGAGGGGGAGCAAAATGATACTGTCTACAATTTCAAATCGGCAGATCCTCAATCGTCCGCGTCGCACGTCCTCATTACTATATATATATACACATATTACATTTGTCGGACCAGACATTTTTCGATTCATTTATATTCATATATTACTCCCAATATTTGCTTGAGCGACTTCAGTTTACTGTCTTTTTTAGCCGGCGAAGTTGGCATCAACCTAAAATTAACGCAAGATATGCTTAGTTCCCGAAAACGTATTTATGTCACTTGCGTGTATGACGTAACGTCAATGAAATCGGAACTTCTTCTGGTACCAATGGTTGCAAATGCCGATAGTCATGAGCAACATGTCGCAAACGCTTGTGACACAGGAATGTTCGACGATGACGAAAAAGTCCTTAATGAGCCCCTTCCGGCTCCCCCCGTTTGGCAACTAGCTGAAGCTCCCCTTATAGGAGCAGCAGCTACTAACGCTTCTGACGGAAGGACAGCAAGCATTTTGTTCGACAATCTATTACATAGCTCGTGCGCTGTCAAAGGGCTGCCCATCCGTTCCATTGACCATTCTGTCATCACATATTCACTATAGAAATGCCTTCTACACATTTTACACAAAGTTAAGGTGGGAGCACGCAAGAAAATGCCAATAGCATAACACATTACAGAAGTTAAGAAATCGATAAATTGGGCGCCGGCAGAATTACTGGCGACTGGGGCTAATAAGCGGCAAATTCACATTACCAACACAGCGTTTATAACTGCGAACGCCGAAGCTGTGACTTAACGCCAGGGTGGGGACGGAGAGAAAACGCTAAGTTTCCAATAGGTAGAATTTTGTTATAAGAAGTCCCGGTTTGTGCAGGTCATAGACGTCAATCGTGTCGGCAAGCCGTCCTGTTTTACCCTTGTTAGGGTCATTGTGTTGGTAATGGGAGTTACGATTAAAATACATAGGTTTATATGGATGCTTGTTCATAGAAGAAGCGTAACTGTCTTGAACTTAGACAACTAAACTTATGTTAGTCGTCATTAGATGTTGATAAAATGTATTATGCTCCCAGTGTTTGATATCTTTTAATCGTCTCAATTATTCAACATTGGGTCAGGCAA